TTATTATTATTATTATTATTATTATTATTATACAACAAGAGAAAGATATTAATAACACATTCATTAAAAATGAAGAATTATTAAATTTTAATAAAATCAAACATTTGTTATCCTTTAGTTTAAAACTATTAAAATATCCTAAATATATTAGGGTGGAATTATGTCATCTATTTATAATATCGTCTCTTCCTCTGAGCCGTCTCATTAAAATCATATCCCGAATTTGAAGAGTCACACGATTTGCATGTTGTGTTAATAGTATACAATCTTCAAAGAACTGAACTATATACGCTTCAGTAGCCTCCTGCAATGCTTGGAGTGCAGAGGCTTGTATTCTATTGTAAAATTATATAAATTATCGAATTATGCTTGTTTCCAAGATTCAAATATTTGTAACTTTACCTGTTTATTCCACTTCTAGGAAACAAATCTATCATAATATCCCTAACTAAACGAGTGAACGGTAATTTCGGTATGATCAAGTTTACACTTTTTCTGTAATATCGAATTTCACGCAGAACACGCGACTTTCGAAATCCGCGTTTGTTTACTAAAACGTGAGTCTAAAAAAGAAATGTATAGTATTTAATAACATTTTGTATAAGCAACAGCTAATTTATTTAAGTCGTGAAATTAGAAACATAGATTAGCTTTTTCAAAATGTACTTACTTCAGATTTCTTGCTGTGTGACATTCGCGAATTGTTAAGCGATCTAAAATAACATACAAATATTGGTTAATAACATCAGATACATTACGTAAATCTCATGCGTTTAAAAATGACAGATTCAAATTAGCGTTCAATATAATAATTTTCTCGAGGATTAAATTTATAAAGATTATCGTAAATAATTTCGAATACTCGAGTTTCATTAAAAATATCATTATTTGATATATTAATTGATATATTAAACAAAATCTCTATCATTAATCATGTAATATATGTGCAAACTAACCTCGTATCACGTTTTCGGCGTACCATTTTTAATATGTAATTCTATCTAGATTGTAATCCACGTACGTTTTGAATACTTCTTATTATGACTTTGTCAGTTTACACATGCAATTTAAATAAACAGTTAAGTTATAAAAACAAAAAAACACAATTAAAAACAATCTCGGTCAATGGCGCCAAAATGTGATATATGTATATATATATTTACATGAATGTATACATATTTGGCGGGAATCTGAAACAATATTCAATAGCTCATAATTAGATGGATTTAAAGTAATAAACTAACCAAATTTGTTTATAATATTCTATAAAATATATAAATGTATATGTTTGTTATTAACTGTATTTAATAATAACATAAAAGAGAACAATATATGGAGCTTCATACATAAACACAAGGCAAGACATAAATATGCAACAGGTAATATATCTCTATAAAAATAAATCGATAAATCGATGGAATTAAAAAATATTCAATTTCGCATAAGAAAAATAACATTTATCACACTTAACAAATATATATATTTTATTAAATTCATTTATTAAAATATAATGTGATTGTATTTTATTTTTTACATATTAAACAAAAATATTAACAATTAATATTTTTTTATGACTTAACAAGTATTTTTCTCAAATGCGCCTTTTTTACATATTTATCTATAAATTTTATTTTACTCTTTTTTTCTATTGATTCTGTAGATGTGCTCAATAGATCTAGATCTTCAATAGATGGCAAATCAATTGTCTCTGTGACTGCTACATCTTCTTTTTTATTATTTTCTCCTTTTTTGGACAGTTTTTTTTTTGTCCATTGTAAAAATTGATTGTATTTTTTGTTATCTTTGTACATATTATTAAATTCAGGAGGGTTTGGATTCTTTATATTAAGTGTTTCTTTACTATTTTGTAATTCAAGCGTTTGTACTTCTAAAGACTCTACATGTTTTATACTTTTTTTATCTGCTTCGCTTTCATTATTCATATCTTTTACAAGAACAGCATTAGTATTTTCTTTTATTTTATTTACAACTTGTACAGAGTCTTTTAATTTTTCCCAGAAATCATACAAACCAATTCTATTATGATCCAATACAAACATGTATTTTAGCTGTGGTGGCAATTTACATATTTCGTACAAACATGGTATGATCTTCCTTTGTTGTTTGTCTAATTAAAACAAACATTACAATATAAGATTCAAATTATATAATTTATATTATTTAATGAGTGGATATTAATGCTTACCGATACCCAATGCTTGAGCATAATTCAAAAAAAATTTATTTGCAGGACTTTTCAGAAAATTGGATGATATTATAACAATTAGTCTGTTACAACGTTCTGATATTAGAGTCATTATAGCTTCATGTTCAAATGTGACTCCAGCAATTAAGTCACGGTCTTTTACACAAAGCTGAAAAATATGTTTCATTTATATTTTATTATTTTTTTTATATAAAATATTAATTTTACTCTTTTACCTTCAAGTTATATTTATTTTCCAACTTGTTCAACATTTCAGTGGCCCAATTAACATCTTCATCAGCATACAATAAAAAGGCATCATAATACTGATTTTCCAAACCTTGTCTTAGTCTATGAAGATCATCTGTTAAAAAATAATATATTTAATAACTTTTGACTTCACATATAACATACAACAGTCACTATATTTTACGTATTACTTGCCTACAGTAAGAACTTTTTCATCAATCCCATTTGAAATTATTTCAGCTGATGTCTGGGACTTTTGTAATTGTTCTATATATTTTTCACCATCTCCCTCTGTGATAAAAGAGAATAATTTAGACTTAAAATAACATATATCATAAAATATATTTAATTACATGTTATGATTAGTACAAACCAAAAAATTTTGATGTATCATCTAAGATATCCCATCTTTCGATTTCTTCCAATGCAATTTGCAAATCTTTAATTGTAGCATCTTTCTCTTTCTTTTGCCAAGTTGCTAAAATATAAGTAGTTGGATCTGGATGTGATGTTAATAATGGCATTATTTCTCCACCTAATTTGCAAAAATGTGCAAGACCACGCCAATCCCTAAAAGTTAAAAAATTGATGAGAATTGTTAATTACTAGAGGTTACATAAAAAAAAATTTATCAGATTAACAAAATATAAATTACCTAGGTAATCCATTTTCAGAAGGTAAAATTTTTGGAGGATTTAATAATGACGAAATAGCATATCTACTTTCGATGGACAAAGCAACAAGTGGTACTGTCGATAGATCAACTGTCATTTTTTGTTATAACCTAACCTCAAATTATTTGTACCAAAATTAGTTTTATTATCTAACTACTAGGTACTACCAAGTACCTGTTTTATTCCACGCACGTTAAATTCTGGTAATGAAGGAAATCCGAGAACGTATTAAAAAATAAATCGAATTTTTTAACATTAAATTAATGTTTCTCATCACGCTGTCACTTACAATAAATAACATTTTGACATATGAACCATTTATGATACTTTTATCAAGTAATACTTTTCATTCTGGGTATTTAATGTCCCATTTAATTTTTTTCTTAACTGTTAACGCAATTTTAATATAAGATATTACCCATATGTTTATTTCGAAACGGATTTCTAAGAATCCACAAAAATTCGATAACTAATGAAAATCTGACCTTCAATAAATACTGTAAAAGAAATTTATCTACATGTCAGACATTCTGTCACGTTGAATTTTATAAAAATTAAACAACTATATGAAAATCTTTAAAAAACATTTACATATTTATTTAATATAAAAATAGACTGAATTTATTTATTCAGCGTTTTGGAGAACACAACAGCAATAATGCAATAATGAAACTGTTGCATCTAAAAAAAAAAAAAACAATAAATGGAAATTAATAATTAATCGTAAACATGAAATATTTATGAGGAAAATAATAATACATATATTAGTTATATATTAGTTATATAAAAAGTTCAAACAATATAAATGATATATCAATCCATAAATAATTAATAAAAAATTGACAGAGACAAATTAATTCGCGAGTAGACCGTGACGGCGCTTCTAGCGTTAGTAATTGTCACTTTTCCGTTGACCGCCGTGTGAATTTATGCGAATATTTCGCGGTGCTTATTCGTGAATATAGTGATGTTCTAATTGTTGCTTGTAAAATATGTTAATTGATTGTACACGAAAACACCACGTCATATTTAAATAAGGTATGATATCTCTATATTCTTTTTTTCTTTTTTTTTTTTTCTGTAACAGCGAACATGTCTCGAAGAGGTTAACTTTCCATTTGTCACTTTTTTGATGTCGTGATATCCGTTTATACATGAAATTCATGTTTTAACAGGTCTCATTTTTATATATAAAAATAATAGATCATACTTTTATGTTTGTTAATGAATGTCAGACATTCATCATAATTATTGCGTATTTCGCTTAAGTGCATGCGCAATTCAAGTTTCGATTTCGAGTTAACTTCTCGATTATTGTCTTTGAATTTTGAATGCAATTACGAATGTATTTTGTTTATGCGAGAATTATTCTAAAACTAAATGTACATAAAAAATTGAGAAATAATTGTTTAAAATTGATTTAAAATCAGATTAATATTGATAACTATTATGCATATTGAATTCTGTATTTTATAAAAAAATTTGGTCTGCGATATTTCGTATATAATTATTCATATACTGTTACCATTGTACCAATATTTTATTAAAACATATTAATGCATAGTTACATTTTTAAATTTTTATTTCCTCACATCTGTTAGAGTTTCCTCCAAATTTTATTAACTCATCATTTTCATGTTTCAGTGTTATATAACAGTGAGTGCATATAAAAGATGACTGAACCAAAACCGTCAGGAATAAGACCACCCTCAAAAATTGGTCGACCATGCAGTAATTTGCCACCAAGACCAGCTGTTCCACCATCACCTCCAAGACCATCAATGAGTGAGTCTTTAATAAACTTATCTATTACATTACACTATGCATGTTTTGAAAAGATCATGATTTTATCCACCGTTCTCTTAGTTTAAATGTCCAATGTACTGTGTTACTTATATGTAAGACATTATTTAATTTAAAGAAAATTTTTAAATATTATAAAAGCATCGTAATTTGATTATACACGAATGACTCTGTGGACAAATTACAGGAAGTTACTTTATAAGGTAATATTATCACATGATAACATCTGATCACAAAAGTCTCTTGAACTTTACATCATTATAATGTGATATAATTTATCTATATCATTCAAAATACAAACGTTGTTTACTCTCTTATTTTGTCAATTAATTCCTTGTAAGTGGGAGAAAAAAAATCAATGTGAATATTTATATTTATAGTTTATATTGGAAATAACTATGAAATTGAAGTCTGAATAATGAAACGTCGAATTTGGTCCATACACAGCATGCGTATATATCAGTTGAAAGAACGATATAAATAAAGGGTTATAACAGTATGAAACTCAACGAGCCTCCGTTGATTCCCCACGCCATGTAAACGAGTACGCCCACGAGACCCTGAGACGAACGTGAACGAATACTTTTACAAGCCCGAGCTCGCGAACTTCTTGCAAGTCGTTCTTCCACCTCTCAACGCAACACATCTCGTCCGAGCGATCTGGTAAATATACCGATTTCTCATTAACAAATGCTATAATCATTATCGATTATTATAAACGCTATAAAGTGAATTCGATTTCATTTGGTGTTATTAACTGAACGATGGACCATTCGTTAATTAGCTTCTCTCAATTAATTTAATTGTGTTTTGATAAATGTTTTCTTCAAATTATTTTATGGATTCTTTGTTAAGATTTGAAGTCTTAATTTTATTTTATTTTTTCACTTATTCCAGAAGCTTTCTAAATTTGCTTTCTGAAATTGTACAGAACATTTAAGAAATATTTTACTTCACATTCTAGTTCTCAGTTATTTTAAAGTCATATTTGAATCAATAAATTAAATTAGCTATTGGAGTGCAAAATCTTTGTAGATAGTGTAAATCACCAAGTATTCATTTTTTCAATCAATCTATTAAATATCATACATATTAGAATCTTCAATTTTATACATGTTTCTTATTTACATGTAAATCATTATACTCATAGATCTGCTTTGGAACTTGTAGATTTCTCAATCTTTGTCAATTATCAAGTAATTTCTTCAAGATCTTCCTAAGCTTTTCCAACTATGAATCTACAATCAAACATCATCACAATTTTGACAACCCTTTAATATCTTATATACAACACCCCATTCATGTAAGTACAAATTTCTTTAGAGAGATTCTCAAAATCATTCTTACAAGGGCATCTATCGATCATGAAAGATTAAATCTTGATCTTTTTCTAGAATAGCACTGCGAGATACAAAATCTAGATAGTGTATTTGATTATTCACGATGCACAGAGCGGAAAGAGACGCTGGCCGCGTACAAAAGCGCCTGGTCTCGCATCGAGGGCAGCTATCTTGCCTTATTGGTTCATCTAGTGGCTCGGTTGTGACCGCGGTTGAGGAAGGGACTCACGGCGCATGTAGTCGGTGCAATCGTCACCGCATGACACATATTGTGTTATGCAATTCTCATGTATTTATTGTACGTTCAATTTCCAGTCATACGTTTCATCTTTCCTCCCACGTGCTCGCCACGCTTTCCATTTCGGGCAGGAATTTTCACGGCGTCCACCTTGCACCCATGATCGGTCGTGCGCGTAGCGCCCTTCTGAGATCGGGTTTCGCAATGCGATAGGAAAACTCAAGGTAACAATGTCAATTTTCAAATTGACATGGAAATATAGGCGTGGATATGATTTCCTGATATTTGATATTAGGAAAGGTCATTAGGAAGATTCTTCATAAGGAGAAGATAGAAAAATTGAGCGGGTATTTTTTGAATTTTCTATTTTTATTTTTTATACTTTATGTTGTACTCATGTAAAGTAATGAAGATATAGGGTGATTTCTCTTCATATTAAGGAAGTGAAATTAGTTCAGAGAATTAGTTTAGAGAAAGAAAATTTGTTTTCGGGATGTTAAAAACTATGATTGATTTCTCTTTGTTGGAAACATAGAGAACCGAATTTGAATAGAAGAAAAATTAAAATTTCTTAAGTACTAAGATTTTAAAAACTGAACTTCCTGCATAGATTATTTCCTCTATATTAACTTAAATTATTTTTCATCACTTTCCAATTTTCTACTATTGCAATTTATTAAAGATATTAGTAGTTAACAGTTGATCTCTGAACATCAATAATCATATCAAAACTTCATTATTATTGCCATTAATTATCTGCAATATAGATCATCCAGAACAGTATATTTGTTCGTTATTTAATGTCTCTTTCTACTTACGGTTTACATTGATGAAAATTCATCAAATTCTTTACTCAAATAATTGCCGTTTGCGTGATACCAGAGTTGCAAACGTGTCATACAAATGTTTACACGTGTTTTCCTCAAATCCTTTCATGGGTCATTCTAAATAGGTGACGATCTTTCGTTCTGATGTAATCATGATTTCATTCAATGTTCAGTTACATTGTGTTTACACTGTCGACTAAATATGGTAGAAGGGACTAAGGATGTTCGTTTTTTAGGTTTCTTTGGTATTTACATCGGCAGTGACAACCGGTTTTGAGACTGATCCACAAATTTCATTTATTGACTCGCTGGCGCCACTGACGTAATACAATGGCTCGCGTGTGTATGCATTATCTTCTTTAATGGGTGGGCATTATTTAATTATTGTTGATTGTGAATCTAAAATATTATTTTCTTCATCTAGAATTTTCGTCCCCAATATTTTCTTAAGTAATTTTATTATTTAAAATTATTTAAAATTTAGACGAATCTCATTGAATAGAATTGAATCTTTGAGTTGGAAATTTTTAGAAAAATTAGTTCCCGACCGAAGTAATTGATTTATATCCAACAGAGTTGTATAGAAGAAAAATTTGATACATCAGCGAGTGACTCGTTGAGCCTGATTGAAAATCGAATCTGTCACAGAGATTGCCAATATCGTGTTACATATGATGTTCATTAGATTAGATTCCAGGAACAAATTGCTACCTGTCGATCGTAGTAGTAATTGAATCAGTACTACCATTAACCTTGTTTACTTATGGATCGTCCACATTCGTGCGGAACCGAAGTATCTTGTATTGTATGACTACTGCTTGTATGGACTAATTTAATTACAAAGCCTTAATTACCATGTGTCAAGCATTAAGGTGTTTAACACTATACAAAGTTTATTTTGGTAACTGTATCTACTATGTCTGTCTCTAAAATTAGAGTAAACCCACTGCTTTATGCAGCAAAGTTTCATTATGTAAGATTCATTTGTACTGAATTGGTCGTTGGATCAATTCATCGTTTCTTTTCTGCACTTCTTTTTCTTAATGACTCACGTGTGACGATTCAAAGCGTTAGATGCATAGAAGCTTTATTTATATAGTATTTGGAAAGTAGAACTGCGTTGTAGTTTCTGTGATCTTTTTTTTTTTTTTTTTTTTTTTTTTAAAGATTGGTCAATTTCTGATGTAATAGTTTTTAATTTTATCAATTGTTAGTTACTATAAATCATTTATTCGTTATTTTCTTCCAAGTTCCATAATACTTTTGACAAATTATTTACAATGGAAATTCAAAAGACTTCTACAAATCTTTCTATTCTTATTATTATTTATTTATTTCGCTAATTGCAAAATTCACTCTATTCATTTATTTTTTTCATCGTGTAGAAAATGGTTATAATTCTTTTATATTGCAAATGCTAATTATAAATTTTCAAATATTTTGTTCGAAACATGTCATATGTAGAATCATTTTTAATCACGTCGTGTGTACACAATCCAACGTTCGATCATTTCGTTCTAATCGCAAACCGATCTCGTCGAACAGAGACTTCTACCCACGCGATCGACCTACTACTATCGGCTCGCCTACAGATTCCTCATGAATATTTAATTAAATCAGGAATCGCGATATTTTTCTTTGGTTTTTTTTTTTTACCGGAGGAAACCGCATGCTTCGAGATAATACGCTCGACTTACGTTGTAATTAAATTACTGTCGAAAGAGTTATGATATTTTTGATTTCGTCGTTTCTTCTGTCTTATTAATTAAAATAATTCAAATTGAATGAAGAAGTGAAATTTCTTAGAAAATGAGAAGAGAAGAATATTTTATAAATTCTCAAATATCGAAACAAAATTAGCATCAAGGCAGCAAGTGAGCAAAGTACTGATCCATGATACATTATTATAGTGAAGGTTCAATAGTGAAAGAATAATATTCAAAGTATTTAGCATATCTTTACAGCATTATCATCGATCGATTTGTATTTAAACGTGCCTCTTTTATGTAACTCTGCTTAATAACTTCGTCCATGAGGAAATGGACTTCCTCTCTTACGTATCAGCCAGTTGCAATTAAAAATCGTATTACGATTTGTATGTGATGCGTAACGCACGATTACAAGATAAGAATCTTGATCTCCCAACACACTATGTAATGGTCGTCCACTATGTGTCCATTTAGTATATTCTTCTCTCTTTTTCTTTTTTTTTTTTTTTTTTTTTTTT